TTTGATGGGCAAGGGATAACCGAGCTACCCGACTCGGGTCGATCTCGAAGGAAGGCTATTCGGAGCTTTGTCTACTAAATGATCGTCCAAATCACAAAAATCAAAAATAAATTCCTAAACATTCTAAACGATTAATTGGATGGTTGATTAACACTAAACGAGCACTTAAAAACGAGCAAACAACTAGAAGCAAGAAGAAATCGCGAGCAATTAGCAAACTAGATCACCGGAGTCTCATGCCATGACCATATCGGGATGATAATCAATCGACATACGGAATGAACGAGCTACGAGCATTAGATTGCTAACTCTAGTCGTCTAATTGAGATCAACAAGCAATTAACGGCTCTATCTACTCAAGCAAGCAATCAAGTTCAAGCATTTCCACCATCATCAATCAAATCCAATTTACTCTAATGAACATTATAAGTAAAAAACCGGAGCAAAAAACGAAGTAAAGAGCTTTAAAATTAAATACTCAATCTCCCATTGCGTAGACGATGAAAAACGGAGTCAAAAGCTTGAAACATGAAAGCTAAAATAAAACATAAGCTAGTTTCCCAAAGTGGGAAAAATAAAAAAATGAGAGAATGGATCCCCAAAATCCAAAGGAAAACATATATATAGTGTTCTCCAAAAACACACACTAAATGCACACACATTTAATGATTCAGCAACTCGCAGGTCTCAAAAATCAACACGCAGCGAGTTCTGGTAGAAAATAACACACAAAAGTGTCTTTCGCAGCCCGCCAACAAGACTCGCAGCGAGTGTGGATATGGGGTACAGGCCAGCCGTTTTACAGCGCGCGAAATGCCATTCGCAGCGAGTGCATGGTGAGGGGCGCAAGCCTTGTTCGCAGGTCTCTAACTCCTTTTTGCAGCGAGTTTCTCCTCCTGCTGGTGCGCCATTTCGCAGCTTGCCAAAGAGTTTTCGCGGGCGAGTGTATAGGATTGGCCACAAAGTGCCATCTCGCGGCCCGCGAATCGGTTTTCGCGGCGAACGCAACATCCAACTTGATACCTTCATTCGAGTGACTCAATCGGTGATCTTTATCTCGAAAACTCATATAGCTAGATCAAATGGCTCGTCTCCCGTACATGAAAGAGGACCTAAACACACCAAAATAGACAAGGAAATACGCCAAAATACAAGAAACACATAATAAAAGATAAAAACACATAAAATACGACAAAATGGACCGATTGACACCAAATCAAACCTAAAAATGACTCAACCAAAGCACATAATACACGATAAAACACCACAAAAACATAACAAACACTAGGTCGAGAGTGCCCCTTTTTAATGTGCGTGTTCTAGTGTGTGTTGGGGCTAGACTATAAATATTTTTGTTCCTTTGCATTTTAGGGATCATTCTCTCATTTTTTTCACTTTTCCTCTTTGGGAAATTAGCTTATGTTTTATTTTTGCTCTCTAGATTAGGAGCTTATGCGACTTCGGTTTCGTTCAAGTTTCGAACTTTTGACTCCATTTTTCATCGTCTACGCAATGGGAGATTGAGTATTTAATTTTAAAGCTCTTTAATTCGGTTTTTGCTCCGATTTTACTTATAATGTTCATTAGAGTAAATTTGGATCTAATTGATGATGGTAGAAATGTTTGAACTTGATTGCTTGCTTGAGTAGATAGAGTCGTTAATTGCTTGTTGATCTCGGTTAGACGACTAGGGTTAGCAATCTAATGCTCGTGGCTCGTTTATTTCGTTTGTCGATTGATTATCATCCCGATATGGTCATGACATGACACTCCGGTGATCTAGTTTGCTAATTGCTCGCGATTTCATCTTGCTTCTAGTTAATTGCTCGTTTTTAAGTGCTTGATTAGTGTTTAGAATGTTTAGAATGTTTATTTATTTTATTTTATTTTCCTTAGAATGTTTAGGATTTTATTTTCCTTTTTTGTGATTTGGACAATCATTTAGTAGATAAAGCTCCGAATAGCCTTCCGACGATATCGACCCGAGTCGGGTAGCTCGGTTATCCCTTGCCCATCAAATTTTTACTAAACAGATAGTATTTTGGCCAATTCAAAATTTTTGATATTATGGTAATCAATTTTTTTTTAATAGAAAATGAGAAAGAATTTTGACTTTTGCAAAATTGTAGGCATCAGTCGAAATTTACCTAAGCTAAATCCACAAAACCCAAGAATTTAAGGTGCATATATAGCTGATCGATTTTTTAGAAATAATTTAAAAAGAAAATTTAAAAACTGTCGAAAATAGAATGCAATAAATGCTAGTTGACTTTTTTATTACTATTTTTAGTAATAAATTCTTTTTTATATAGATATAGATTACATTAACCAGTCGTACGCCTTCAAAAATTCCGGTATTTTTATTTCATAATTTTGTCCCAATTTCACTCTTTATCACACTTGTTTGTGATGTCACAATAATATACACATCTTAATCAATAACTAAGCATGAAATGTAATGGATATAAATTGTTTAAATTTTGATTTGATTTATTTGATAGAGTTAGTTAATTTTAAATAAAGTTGATTGAATGAATATTGGAGTGGAACTATGATTTTATATTTAAATAATAATTAAAATATAACGAGTATGTTGGGAATTTGGCACAAAACCAAATCCCTATCTCAGGCCCAAGGAAGCCCCGGCCCAATCCCGACTGGGCCTGGCCCTCTTACACACACACACAAGTGGCAGATTAATTTGGACCCTTGGATTTAGGGATTAAATCCCAGCCCTCCATCTCTAGCCTTATATACCCTCACACTCAGACCCTAAATTTGAACATATCTCACTTCTCTCTCTCGCTGCTGCGCTCCTCTCTCTCTCTGTGCGACAGAATTATCTCTCTCTCTGTGGGAAAATCGACCATCGATTTCACTCTCCTTTTCTGTTCTTTGTGACCTTTGAGTGTGAGTGCCGCCGTTGTGCCGTCGGAGTACCGCCGCTGTGCAGTCTTCGTCGCCTAGCTTCCCTTCGCCGGTTCAAGCCCTTGCGGGGTGCTTTCCAGCGAGCTCCTTTGTGGGAAGACGAGGCTTTGCGACGGAGGACCGGGTGCGTGGCCGTGTGTGAGGTGCAGCCCGGGGATTGGGCCGAGGAACCGGGGCTGCCGTTCGTTGACCGCCACTGAGCCGCGACTTACCGAGGGTGCCGGAAAGAAGGACAATCTGAGCCGGGAGACTTCGTGTCGTCATTATCCGGCCAGATTCGGTCATAGGGAGTTCCTCTTTCCTTCTTCTCTTTTATTTCCCTCTGTTCCAGCTTTTACCTTATATTTTCAGCCTTGTCTTTGTATTATTTGTGTTTGATTATTGTTGTATACTAAGACATTGCTGGTGTGTTTGCATACGGGCTGAATCGACCGAAAACGGGCTGTAAAGGTCGGAGAAAGGACCAGCTGGGATTTGCCGGGCCAAGAGAGAGCTGTCCGAGAGCCCCTTGTACACGAGCAGCATTTGCGGAAGACCGATAAGTGGCTGCATTGCGGTCAGAGTGAAAGAAGACGAGCTTCCGCTGCGTACGAGTTGATCGGTGGAAACGGGACGGCCACATAACAGAGTAAAATTGAAGTAATTTGAGAGAACGATTGATTGATATTATTTAACTATATACACAATTGAGAAGAGTTAAGTGAGATAAATCTGAATCTGATTTTGACTTACAAAAGTGTAAAAACAATTATTAAACTAGTCAAAATCGATTATATTCTATAGTCGAATACGCTACACAATTATTTTTCCCGTTAAAAGGCGATTGTTGTTGTTAATTGGTTGTATTATTCTTTTAATACCATTTATGTTTTTGTAGTTAAACATTGTAACATAAAACAAACAAGACTTTTTATTCATTATTATACCATCTTCTCGAAAGCTAGTAACAATATACAGAGATTATGGCACTAAACAACGTACATAGAAAAAATAACCACATCACTGCCAAGAATAAACCTTCACCAAATCCTTCTCTTCCCAATTCTTCTTTCCAACCTTATAGAACCCGTCTCCTTTGACGACCCAATTGCACATGTTATAAGGACCATCTACGTAAGTATCGCACGTTCTGCGACTCGCGGAGAAGACATCGAAAACCTGTTGTTTGCCATTCCAGTAGAAATGGCAGAAGAAAAGAGTCGAGCCCCAGAAATTGATTTCGAATTCCCAATGATAGTATTGCCTGAAATAGAGCGTTTTGTGCCCGAGGTCATCGTCTTTCGACTGGCAATGGAAAGACAAAGAAGGGTGGTTGATGAGGTCCGTGATTCGGACTTGATAACGGGACGGGCGACGTGGGACCGGGTCGCCCCGGTCGGGTGGCGGAAGGGCGTGGACCCGAGCACGTGGGCCCGAGTGAATCAGCAAGAAAAGAGAGAAGTAGGAGATGAGGAGGGTTTTGGGAAGAGGGATTCTCATGTTGATTGAGATATATTAATGTTATAAAGTGTTTTTTTGTTTAAGTGATGGTGTTCATTAACCAATGTATGTGAGGGTATTTATATTAGTACAAATGGACATATATCCTCCTTATGACTGTGTAATGTGATTGTGATATGTGGCATGATTGGAGGGATTGAATAAAATTCGATTGGACTGAATGAGTAAATTACGAGAAATAGTGATTGTTTGGGAGCAAATTTGGAGAAATTGAGTATTTTGGAGAGTTGATTTAACTAATTCGTATGTAAATTCTCAATTTAACATTCAAATGTTAATAAATTACCCAAATGAAATTTTGTATTCAAATGTTTATTTGAGAAGTGTTTTCAAATAATTTTAAATTGAATTTTGAATAGGTTGGTTTTTTTTAAAAAAAATAAAAATAAAAATAAAAAGTGTATTTTATAGAAATAAAAGGATGGAGAGACATTTGGAAAAGTCCATTTTGCAGAAATTGTTAAGTAAGTTTTAGCATTTGTGTGATCGTATACTAAATTAGGAGGATCTGATAGTAATATTCTCATCTCGTGTAATCACAATAATGAAAAATAAATTTACTTTTTCATATATTTATGATATATTTTTTATTAGTTTTAATCAAGGTTTTAAATAGCGGGCTAAAACGTTTATGGCACTGTAGCTATAGCGGAGCTATAGCGGAGATTTAGCGAGATTTAGCGGCTAAATTGCACATGAATACAAATAGCGACACACTGCCAAAAAAAGTTATTTCTCAAATAGCGGCAACTTTAGCGAGCTATTTATTTCCTATGTTTTAATAATAATATTATTTTTTTATTTTTAAATTAATAAGAGTATACCTATTACAATAATAAAAATAAAATTACTTTTTCATATTTATGATATTTTTATTAGTTTTTGTTGAACCCAAGCAATCATCAAAAAGAAAATTAGCAGAAAGAAAAACGTTCACTATGCATTGATTTCAGGGAAAACCTTTTTACATGAATATCATGGATTGTTGCGGCTGCTAGGGAGCTAAGGGGAGTATTTATGTGGTGATGAGTAAAACCTAGATAAGATAAGGTTTGGGAAAAGGTAAAAAAGACAAAGTAAAAAATAAAATAAAAAAGGAATAATATGAGAAGAATTGTAATTTGTCTCTATCTTTGCATGGGGCCTGCATGGGGCCGGTTGAGCTGCATGGACCGGTTTGAAGCATAAGTTATCATCCCCCCTCAATTTTAGCTAGGGATGAGGAACAACATTAAGTTTGTTTCTAAGCCGAGCATAAAATTGGCCACTGAGGGGCTTTGTAAAAATATCCGCAATTTGATCAATGGCTGGAACATGTTGTACTTTGATAATGTTGCTGGAGACCTTTTCTCTGATGAAATGAAGGTCCAGCTCAAAGTGTTTTGTTCTTGAGTGGAAAACTGGATTGGCAGACAAAGATACAGCTCCAATGTTATCACTCCAAATGGTGCAAGGTTGCTGAGGAAGGAGACCAAGTTCTTTTAATAGTGAGTGAATCCAAATTATTTCACATGTGACTCCTGCAATGCTTCTATATTCAGCCTCAGTGCTGGATCTAGATACTACACTTTGTTTCTTGGAACTCCATGATACAAGATTTTGACCAAGAAAAACACAATGACACTACGCCAAAAAATGCTTCAGATAGCGCTTTTCTTTCGCTTCAGATAACGCTTTTAAGCGTTATCGGAATCAGTGTTATCTGAAGACGACCTCTTCAGATAACGCTTATAAAACGTTATGTGAAGTACCATTCACATAACACTTTTTTATATTAAGCGTTATGTGAAAAACCTTTCTCATAACACTTTTTTATATTGAGTGTTATGTAAAGAACCTGCACATAACACTTTTTTATATTAAGCGTTATCTGTAATATTGATCAGATAACATTTTTCAACAGAAGTGCTATCTGAGATGATGATAATATATCACACTTTTCTAAACAAATGTTACCTGTATTCATTACCCCTATACTAGTAAACAAGAACCAAATGAATTAAATCATGAAGCAAGTACCAAGAAGCAAAAACCAACAAGAAAACAACCCAAACATGAATATAACAAAAACTTACTAACACAATTCACCAATTTTAACATTGTGCTCGAGTATGTACAAGAGATTATGTAGCACAAAACTATGACAGAACCATATATACAATTCCAACAAATCAAGAAAAACAACTAATATTCTCAGTAAAAAATCCGCCTAATATTAGCCAATATCTTGTCCAATAACGTTTTGATGGTATTCTCCTGCATCGCGAAAGTTATACATATATTAATATCAAATTTAACTCATTTCATCACATCTTATAAACAAGATATAAAAGAAAATCTTATACGAGTATAACAAACAACATACCTGCCAAGTATGGAAATAATGTTCATGTATCTAATTACAAATTGAAAAGAAACATCTCAATCATTATTTATTAATACAATTTTATAATAAATTTGAAATTTAAAATAACAATAAAAACAAACGAATCGACATTAGTAGATTTTTTACCTTACAGAACATATTCAGCCAATTCTTCCCGAACTTCATGTACTTGCTCCTCAGATAATTAAACGCAAAGGAAAGTACTACAAAATATAACATTAATTACAATTTAATCAAAAACCAAAAAATGAGGGGTAATAGAATGACAAAAAAAATGAGCTCAAATTCACATACCTGGATTATCATTTTCTTTGAGGGAGAGTAGATTAACGCTCACGTGTTTAATTAGCAAAACTAAAAGAGGGACTAAATCAGTAGAACTATGTTTGAGTTTCATTCTTCAACATCAACCTATCAAAAAGGAAATGATGATAATTAAATAATTTATGATGTATCACAACCCTTTTCATTTAGGCAGAGCATAAATATCAAATGTTCATAGCAAACAAGAACCACAAGAATTATCGAACAAAATAGTACATAATACATCAACTAGTAAATTATAGCAAATTATGCATTAATAAAAATATTAAACTAAATATATAAGTGAATAATGTGCAATATCAAACCAAAGTAAATTATAGTCAAATATAACTAAAGTCCATGTTCGTGTCTATCCATTTCAACTAGACACGAAACTGTGATAGTTCTTACCTTTGTTTTTGCAAAAGCATCATCTCTTTCTTATTTCATTCTTAGTATCCTGAAGTTGAGAAGAACATTACTAAATATTATTTTCAGCTAAGCAATCAATTTAGAAAGAGATGAAAATAAAGATAAAGATTGCATCAAAATATTCATCCCATACTAAAAAATATACAGAAATTCAAAATCCTATAAAATATCATGAAAATTTTAGAAGTTATTTGAATTCAGGAAAATTAACCCTCCTGAAACATAAGTAAAAATGGAGTATGTTAGAATGTTACCTTTAGCTCTTTTCCCGTAGTTGGATCATGATGCAATATAGGCTTTCTAATTCTTCCTTCCACGCTTCGGATGAAAAAGAGAATTAAGCATGATACAATCACTATTACTTATCATCAATCATGAGAGGATGTTTAAACTATGTCATCTGTCTAATACCTCTACCATCACTACATGTGTGATATGTGCTTTCTAGATCAAATGTGGAGTGTCCATGATACCTGTCAGTATCCATTTCAAGAATCAGAACAGAAACAAGAGTCCAAGGCAGATTAGTTAGTTTTCTAAAGAGTGGAGATATGACCAAATGCTCCATTTCTTATATTTACCAATCTCTGTAGGTGAAAGTTCAACTATAATCTCACAAGTGACACACATTCACATTAATTCAGTGGGATCTTGGAGATTAAAAAACATTCATGTAGATAAGTAATACATATTGTATAACTAATGGTCAGTTTTCAACTGAAAGAAAAACTACAAAATACTTGTATATCCAACACAAACAAAAAGTTCCTATAGTAATATAGTAGATTGTGAAATTTGTTATATTAATAATAATTACATTCCATGTTGTGTTTCTAAACACACTGAAAAAATAATGCATGAGTGGCTATCAGCTATAGATAAAGCTTTATATATAGTCAAAGGCAAGTATGGTATCTTCTATTGCATCACTTTCATATCCAAACAAAAAATCTGCATCTCATGAAGTCACTAAATTCAAATCATCCAAGACAAAAATGAGAGAATGAATGATATCACAAGAAAACCTTGTTTTGAACTACTCTTAAACTTATATCATGATTCATAACTCCAGTTCGAATTATCTGGTTTGGCATAAGCAAAAACCCACATACACAGGCACCAAAAAACATGGCATCATCTATATTTTTTTTTTCTTTTTAACTAATAAAAAACGATATTTGATAATTAATTGAGAACTTAATTATGTATTTGAGGCATTTATATAACAAACTAGAAGTACTGTAATTATGTCAATTTAAATCAATTTCAAAATTCAAGTTGGGGAAGATAGGTTAATTAAAACGAATTCACTACTCCACTATACTGAATCAATTTCAATGAGCAATGTTCGGCCTTTACTGACAATATAGAAACAAAAATTCAGAGGGAGTGAATAGAGATTAGGAGCGAGAAGAGGGGGGACATGACCGAAAGTAAAATCTTACCGCCGCCGATGATCAGTGATGATGGAGATGGTGGGGAAGTTGGCTGCGTTGTCGGTGATGGTTCTGTTGAGAGGAGGGTTCTGAGGAGTTACAATTCTTTTTATTTTTCCCAATCCGCACGAACAGAGGGAGTTATCAGTGTTCTCTTTGGGTTGTGAGGTATATGTGTTATATTTGCTATAACACTTTTAAAGAAAAGTGTTATCTTTTGTTCTCATTGTATAGCATTTGTTAAAACAAATGTCATCTGTGTGTTCCCTTCTCTTAGCATAGCACTTTCTTAAAAAAACGCTATATAAGAAGTGTTATCTGAATCAATTTTTGTTGTAGTGTGACCTGAGGTGGATTTTCTGTCATCCACATCACTTCCCCAGTCAGCATCTGCAAATGCTCTCATGGTGAGTTTGTTGTTG